GCTCGTGAATCGTCCTCCGTGGCCCAGAGGCAGAAGCCGCCGAATGACAAGTCTAAACTGCTGTTCGTGATTGGATGGAGTGTTGAATGATCCGATGGATGCGCACTGAATCATAAAAACAGAGCTCCATCGCAATTAGTTGGTGCATATGCGAGGGATGGCGTCAATGATTCTTGTGTGTCTGTCGCCTCTTACAGCTAAGCCATGCTATTCGGGTGTGATGCGCTCTCTGAAGCTGAAATCCGCAAAGTGGGTCCAAGAATATCTGAATTCTGACGAGGATGTCACCTTAAAATTTTTTGCAAGAACAGTTTCAGTAATTCACCACTCGCCGCTTCATGTCCGACGCTCGCGAGTGCTGGTTGACGTGCGCACGTGAAGTAGTGGTCCAAGCATGAGTACGTGACCAAGGTGCAATATCACGTGCGTCATAATGATGTCAACTCTAAACTGACGACACGACAGTGTTCAGCCATAGTCCTCTGCATCGGATTTCGTAGGACACATTACTTAAACTGGGGATGAACCTGGTAGCCACATTATGAACACGTCCCAGTTTTTGCACCAAGCAACTGGTGATTCCAACTTGAGCATCGGTGCTTTGACGGAAAGACGCGTGTGGTAAGCTCTTCAGACCAAATACGAAAGCTGCACAGCCCGTTCCAATAGAGCCGGTTCGCGTTGTCTGCGGACTTCAAATCGTAGCGTGAGAATACGCCGAGACCCTATAGGAAGGTGTAGGATGCAGCGGTTGGCCGGCTGCTGTGCACGTACGTCTATTAATACCCTTCATACATGGTTGGTATGAGGGACCAGCAGACCAACTGGACAAGAGGTCGATATCATGCTGTAGTAGGTCACGGTAGTCGGGATTAAGTATTTTCCAAATCTACAGAAATTCGGCAAATATGGCACAAGTGGACCGAAGAGGCTGAGAAAGTTTGTCGGTGTGGATGGTGAATGAAATGGGCCTTAGTACCCCATTGTTGGAGGGATAACAATCCGTTAGATGGTCCAACAACACCGCACATTCGCAGCATGTTGAGGACTTTATAGTCCACTTCCGACGGTTCAACCCTTGCAAGCATTCAAACCGCGTCAACGGCAGGAGCGGATGATGATGTTGACGGGGTTGAAAATGCTGTCTAGTGCTTCTTCGGGCAAGTAGACGACTACCTGAGCTGGAACACGCTAAGACGAATTCCCAGTGGATTGCATTAAAATACCGTACTCATGAGCAATATGCTCGACAACAGGTGATAAGTACGGGCCTTGCGTCGAGTACTCGAAGGCATTCGATTGGGCTCCCCATTTGAGATCTGCGTGAAAGCGGTCGCGTTCTCTACTAGGTGGCTGCGCTCTTGGGTAGTAGAGAACAGTGGGTGTGCGGTCCACAACCACATTAAGGTAGCCTGATTCCAGTGGCGGAGCGTAAAGCAGCCATTTGTGGAAGGTTGTCGAGGGTCCGGAGGCTATTCGGTGTGCACCGGATAGACTTTCAGACTAGTCAACTTTTTGGCTGCGATCTATAAAGTAGGCAAACTGCACCGTTCTTCGAATTGGAAGTTTTCCTTGCGTATCCAAAAAGTAGCATCTAAGCGTTGTACATTCGGTCGACACCAGAAAGACTGCGAGTGGTAGGGTTCCGTTCCGTATGTTGTAACCAATACACCGTATCATCGGAATCTTAAACATAAACTTATTTGTATGACTGTTCTCAGCTATCGTTCGCCAAAGCCTTCGCCAAGGTCGACCACAAGATTCTACTGCAGAAACTGTTGTCTTAGGGCGTTTCACGGGCCTTGATGGACTGGAGCCGGAACTACCTTCAAAATCGTATCTTCCAAATACTCGTCGACGGAGCGTTGTCTCCCCGCATCCTTGTCACAAGCGGAGTTCCACAGGGGTCTGTTCTCGTACCGCACCTCTTCCTAGCCTTTATTGACGACGTAACACCGCAAAGTGGAGCCTCTGCCGCTGCTATAAGCAGATGACGCGAGGCTTTGGTGCACAATTAACCTTCCGGACGATGCCCACGCACCTCAGACGGACCTCCATCGTCTACCTCAGTGGTCCCTAGAAAACAACCTGCCATTTAACGGTTCAAAATGTTGCATCCTTTCTACCCGCCCTTCCGCTTCTTCTCCCATATATTATCTGGCAGCGTCTATCCTCCAGATCTCTTCGGCCGAAGGAGACTTGGGTATCAGTACCCAGACGAGTCTTTCCGTATCCGCTTACTGCCGAAAAGCAGCAGCAGCTGCTGCTAACCGCATGGCGGGATTGCTGAAACGAGCCTTCGGTCAAATTGACCCTAGCAATTTCCGCATCCTCTTCAACGCTTTTCTTCGACCCCACTTGGGGTTCGCTATTTAGACTTGGAGCCCTTGGTTTCTGAAGGACCAAGGCATACTCGAAGCCGCACGACGTAGTGCAACCAAGCTGGTCCGAGGTCTCAAGCACCTTGGTTATCCACAACGACTTCACTGCCTGGGCCTCTGCTCGCTTAAGTACCGACGTCTACGGGGCGACCTGATCCTTGTATTCATGATCTTATCCAACCCTGGACATCCCTGTCGCCACCTACTCACACTGCACCGATCGGGCTCCCATCTACGTGGCCACCCACTGAGGCGCACACATCAGCAAAGTCGGCTGAACTGCAGACGACACTACTTCGCTTTGCGAATCTGCCGACCGTGGAATGCTCTGCCTGCCGATGTAGTCTTGGCACACACTGTGGCGGACTTTAAGACCCGCTTGGACTGTCATCTGGCCGAGTTACACTGTGATATTCCCTAATATAACTACCTTCTACTGGATCGAATTTCCTTTTTCTTCTACCTAATTTCTTTCCAAAGCCGTTTCGGAGGGCGTGATGGGATGTCACGCTTTGAGCCGGCGTGCATTCTGCTTAAATGCCGCATAAGCCCGATGAAGATACGGCTAACACGCGAGTCAAACCCGCTGTAAAGCTGCTTGGCCTTTCATTAGATCCGACCCGAACTCCTTTTACCCTATGGGTCATGTAAAGCTCGAGCTTTTATTCCCATTAAATACAATGTGCCAGTATTCCGTATGGCATACCGCGCCCAGGAGAAAACGGTTGCGTTGAGCGGTCATGGCGACAGATTTAGCCAGGGCACTTACACAGTTTGGGGATGCATTACGGAATACTGAGATGACCTACTTCTAACTCACCGTACCTTAACTGGAAAAGTTGCCCCCTACGTGACATGGCTACTCAGTCCCGATAGTCTGTTCTCTGCAGACATCTTATGAAGCTGGACATACCCCGGTTCTATGGAATTAGGGCGGAAATCCGGTTATCACACCGAGTACTCTAGCGCTGCACATTACCACCGGAAATTATCTGGGAATCTAGGGGTCTGAGCGTCAACTTGACGTTGCTTGGAGGCAACATGAAACCTATCGTTTCCCATGACTACCATCCATTTTATTTCCTTTGATGCACTGGCATTCCGTTCTTATTTCAAGTGAGGTTTCTTATACCCTCTTCGTATGCAATGCCTAGTTCAAGTGACTGAAGCAGTAGGGACTCCTAGTACAGCGAGGGTGGTTGGTTGGCTAGAGTGTGGCTAAGGTGTTCCGTTTTAGCTCCCAGCACATCTTTCTGCTCAAGAAGGAATATGCACCAGATTCTGCTACCGGTCAGTCACACTTGAGCTTGAACAAGAACACACGAACCAAAAGGCACGATCCGATCCGTAGTCCAAAGTAGCAAATCCTCCCTAGTAATCGGTGCGCGGGTTCAGACCCGCGTAGGGGCCCGGTAAACTGTCGCAGTATCGTTGGCTTGCATGCGATTGGTGATCACGCAGCAGCGAGGATCCGGTGCCGCGGGCCGGCGTATTGCTGATGGCTAGGTGACCGAAAACGAGCGCCGGCGTAACGCACTAAGCAGCAGAGCAAACTTCGTTGCATATGCGCTTAAGTAAGAAACGCAGGCTACTCTATCTATGGAGGTGAGCATGTTGGTAGTCGCTGGAATTCGCTGCCACAAGCTAGTAAAGCAAAACGCAGACCGATCAGGACCAGGTCTTCACTGCATTTAACCGTAGGGTATCGACAGTACCGAAGTTTCGTCTCCGCACAACCACTTCATGTCGCGCGTGTGCTAATGATACTGCGAAGGACACATGGCCCCTGAAGGCCACCGGGCACTAAGTAAACCACTGTGCATTTCCACCAGAAAGGGCCACTTAGATCGTCTACTAGGTACAATCAGCTTGCTAAAAGTAGCATATCATTACTTACGCAACAAGCGTCCCGAGCAAGGATATCAATTTGCACTGCTGCACAACGCCAAACAGTTGGTGGAATGGGACAATCAAGAGCAACTTGTTGCAACATGTTGTACCTGAGATGAACATTCAATGACAACCCCAATCCGGCGAAAATCTCAGATATTGACAAGAAGTAAAAACACTCAGTTAAGTTCGACCACTTGGTCTCGACTTATTCAGACTGCTAACCCAATAGACAAAAGTATGCTGCTGATAGTTGGCGTCCTGTGGATACTACCGCTCCAGCAAATAGTTCGGCGGCAGTGTTCCAGGAGGTGGTGGGTTTTCGCCTGGCAAGCGTCCTCCCTATAAAAAGCCACAAATGTCTGCTTAACAACACTGTGACGTGGCGGTCGTGCCTCGCCACATAATAGTCGCTGCCTCGTTGGTATCCGAATAATCCTTTCCAACGCACGGACATCCATCTTCTACTCGAGCATTGCCGACGATATGAGAGTCAAAGTTAGAGCAGCACAGTTACAAACAGGAACCTCACAGTGGCACACCCACACACATAGTTACATAGTTACATACCCCCTACATAAACATACACTGGTACGGCAAACATAATGTATTCTTGCACCTTCTAGACCACGCATTGTTGTCATAATGATCATGCCTGTAAAGGCGTGCCTCGCCTTGTCGAGAATAAAAAATTTATTTATTTATTCATTTACACTCAATGGAATACGACCGGCGTTCTCAGGTCAAGTGCCATAGCCACACGACCTACTACAAAAATATCGCAACCCGATGGACAGCGATTAGCAATAATGTACAAAGCACAGAATACAGGAATGGGAGGGCCATAGCATACATAGATAAGTGCCATTACCCGACGCAAAGGACACAAGCTAAGGCTAAGAAGATTAATATGGATTGACAACACGGGGCTCATAAAATGAATGCGAGAAAAATGCGAATCCGTTAGTCTTCTGATTCACGCCCGGTTTCATCCCTTTCGTCGTCACTTCTCCTACTGCTGTCCATTTCTTCTTCGTCCGATTGATGTCTTTCAGCGGATACGCTTCTTCGAGATCCAGAGCGGGAGCGGCTGACGGAACGTGACCGGTCAGGGCTGCGGGAATCAGCGGATCGAGACCGGCTTCTTGAGCGCGAAGCTGACGCCGAACGCGAACGAGTCCTTGAGCGGGATATTATTTCCGATTCGTTTTTAATGCTGTCATCAGTTCCGTTACGACTTGGGGAGCGGGACTCAGCCATCTAAGTAATTTATTTAAAGAGGCAAACGGACTTACCGGTGAATTTTTCTCAGTGTGGTGCGAAGCGGAGCGTTTGCGGGAAGAATGAGACTCAGAACGGTGCGATGGACTGCGAGACCGATGCTCCACCGACAATTCCTTCGATCTGCTTGATGAATCACGACCATCCCGAGAAACGGAGCGACGCCTTTTACTTGAGACCGATCGTTCTCGTCGTCTACGTGGGGAATGTGCTTTCTGGCGACGATACGATTCGCGACTTCTAGAGCGAGCAGCACGCTTCCTTCCGATGCTATCAGAGCGTGAGCGACCTTGGGAACCGGACCTTGAGTGTCGATTGGGACGATCCTCGTAAACACGCAGTCGACGGCCGTAAAGCTCGTATCCGTCAAACTTTTCAATGGCTTCCTTCATGTCAGCATATGATGAAAACTTAACTATGCTGTGAAAGATATATGATGAAAGACAGAAACTTACCCATCGTTACGCGCGGATTTGTGCGCATCCGCATAAGTGACATCACCGGCTTTCCTCATCATGTCCTTCAAGTCCTACAAGCAAGACTCAAATTACGGCGTGAAGTTCCTAAGAGCAACATAAATCCTAAAGGCTTCACTTTCTACTACACCCAAAAAACGCGCGAGTAATTTACCTCGCGTTTGGGACTGGCCAAGGCCTCGAACCCCGTTAGCGACCTGGGCCGAGCGACCGTGGCGCGGCGCGACCAAAACGACCCTCAAGCGACCACGAAATAAAAATCGACCACTCAATCGCGTCCTATCCAACCTCAGATTGTGAAATGCACACGGTAGCGGTACTGAAGAAGGAAGTACTCAACATGGCGGTCAAGTTCGTCAAAAGAAAAAGGAGCACAGGGGGAAACGGAACATTTTGAAGTTGCAACCAATTTTCAGCAAGTCTATTAGAGTGTTGATGTCATGAAGCTGTAAGAAAGTGACGACACCCGAGATCCTGCAGCCAATTGGCAACAACTGAAGCTGAACTGTGTGAGTCAATGTCACTTACAACAGCTAATGGACTCTTTCCCTAATTAACATTTTTCTCAAGGCCCGGTCTGTATAATCAATGTTTGGTTTAGCAGTCAGGAATACTTCCGGCCACTTTGAATAAGAATGCACCTTCACAAATGCATTTTACTTCTACAGAAATTATTCACAGAAATCTATATGTATCCTTTGCCTGAACCTGCAGGTGATCGGGCATGGTGCCCACTTAAACGGCTGCTGTAGAATCATGTGCTTACAGTCCGAGCAGGCATAAACAGTGTGTCCAATAGATGTACTTAATTTAAAACATCCTCACAAGCCTCGAGCTAAGGACTTCCTCTTTGCAACTTTAAAGTACCCAGAGGGTAAATCCGTTAAAACAGCTGCTCTAAAATTCTGTGGAATAACAACAAGCTCACACACACCGTGATTCATCAGGCGTAAAACTACTCAGCACTACGTACAGAAAGTTTTGGACAATTTCGGTTTAGAGAAACAGACCAGCCTTGTTTGAGAGCAGCAACCAATGACCCGTAATACTTTCTTGGCCTCTTGATAAGGGCTGAACAAGAGGCTGGGAGCAGTTGGATGAATAGAAAACACATTTCTAAATCCGCTTCGAATGTCGTTCCAGGTTAAGCTAAGTATTCGACGTCAGGAATAGGCTTTGCACTTATGTGTTGTACGCGCTAAGAGCAACACTTCACCATGAAACCAAAGCTACTGAAGATTTAGCTAAAGCACTGGCAGTGTTGTACCTGTACCTTTAGCTTCACGATCTGTCACAATAGTAAACCGGAGACCAAACAATTATTGGTCAAGTCCAGTGATTGCCCGGTATACAGCCAAAGATTCTCAATGAGCAAGAGCTTAGCACTTTACAGCTTTGCTGTGTCAACGTGGGATACACAGAACAGGGTGTCCAGTTTGCCCTAACACAGCATCTAGACCGGCTGTTAAGGCATCTGTGAGAAGCATGGTTGGCAGTTTAGGAGAGAATGTGCGAAGAACACAATTAAACGTAAGCATGTTCAAGCGCTTTAGAAGAACATGCTCATGTTTGTCTAGCCAAATAAAACGCTTGTCATTCGACTAGGTGAATAGAGGATAAACATTGCATGCAAAGGTAGGAACGCCTTTGGACACCATTACAAACCATCAATCAGTGAGTGAAACGCATGACAAGTAGTGGGCAACTTAACTTCAGCCAATAATTTTATCCGATCAGGAGCTGGTTTGAGTGCTTCAGATATAACACAAAACTCAAGCTGACTGAGCGCTTGGCCACAAATTAGACACTTCTTTTAGTTGATGTACCCGACAGCATCCCTGAAGAGGGTTACCATTGCAAGCAATCAAGGAGAGTGGGTGTGTTTATCGAAAACATGCACTAACACATGTTCTGGATAGTCTACAATACCATCTATACTTATCATTATGGAGTTCAGTACGTCTTGGAATATGGCTGGCGGCACCTTGAGACCAAAGGGAAGAAGTCTATACCGGCACAATCCATAAGGTGTGTTGATGGTGACCAGTTCACTAAGATCACCAGTGTATGGTAAATGCAAAGATGTATATTTTAAGCCTAGCTTCGAGACAACCTTGGTACCATGCAAAGGGACAAGAATTGAAACAGGTTCTACTGTGGCACAACTACGCTGCACTAGATGCGTATTAAGATTAATGCGATACTCACTGCAAACTCTCAGTGTTTGTCCATCAGGCTATACCGGTGTGACATTAGGTGTGGCCCATGTTGAACTTTATGCGGGGACAATAATCTTTGCTTCACAGAGACCCACCTACCTTACTAATAGGTTCCCATAGTCCAGGTGGAAATAAGCGACGTTTACAGAAAAGATGATCACGGGCTATTACCAAATTAACAGGCGGGATTCTCATTACATCAGATGTCACTGAATGATCGTGCAGTAACCCACAAATTTGAGTGTCAGTACCAGCGGGTGACAGAAAATTGGCACTTATTTTATAGTCCTGAATATTGAATACAGTAGTAAAGAGTAAGCAGAAATGAATGCTCTTCAGCTTTTTCGAATTACGGTGAAAAACATTATAAAATTTGTCAGCCGTGCATATCGTTATCCTTCTCTTGTTACATTTAAAAGTCTGACTCACGGTATTGCATGGCCCAAAAAGGTGAAATGTCACCGTAAATGTGTAATCGTTCTCTGAATCAAATAGTGGTAAAATAGCAGTCTAACAACGTTTTGAACTGCTGCACGGATGTTGCCTTCATCACAAGTTCACACAAATTGTTACAAATATTTACCACTCTCCGTTTGGAGCACAGTAGGTGGTGATGTCGCTTCAAATCCGGCAAGACAAGTTTGTGTCTGTGTCCGCGTGTGCCGCATGGCCATCGCAAGTGCAGATTTGGTATCAGTTTGGGAAAGTCACCGGAGATAGCATACCGTAGGTCATAATGAGGTCGACGCACACCTGACGGTAGGACAAGGTGTAGAGTACTGGTTACTCTCACCGGTCTACATACCCCAAGCCACGTAAACACTCGATGCGCCTTGTAACAAAGTCTTGGACCCGTTCGATTTTGCTCCTCGCCTTGGGTGGTCGGAAAGTAAGCGGCGAACCGCACTCTAGCATTGGGCTAATGATGGAAAGGCAGAGGCTAGTAGCAGCTTCTTCAGACCATGCGCTGAGGCTACGTTTGCGCACCCAAAGCATGCGCAGACCGTTACGACGTGGCCTTTTCGTGTGGTCCACGGATTTCAAAGCATAGCGCGAGAGTACATCTAGGTCCTTCACGGTGAGTGTGGGATATAGTGCTTGGCCATCAAGGGTATAGTCTCGGCCGTCAGCACCCTACCCCAGGTTCATAAATGTCGCCTTCGACGGGTTGACCGGGAGTTGAGGTTAGGAAGACCAGGTGGATAGGCGGCTGAGGTCTGGCTGAAGCAGGCCACAGTCTTCGGGAGGGTTAATTTCTCTCCAAAGCGTCATGTCGGTTGCCCACGAAGACAATGTCGACCGGAGAAGCTGAGGTGGATAGTTTTGATGTGGATCAAGTAAAAAGGTCTGCCCCAGCACCGTGCCTTTACAAACATAAATAAAGAAACGTAGGTTTCTAGACTTGGCTATAGGCTGTGCCCTCAAGGGCTCGGATCATAATGCTCAGTAACCACATGTTGGTGCGTGAGTAATAATATAGTAAAGTGTATGCACTCATTGAGCGCGAGAACTGCACCAACGCTGCAGGAACCGCTTCGCAGCGATATTTCTTCCGGCTCCCTTAGCCAGTTTCGGTAAATTAGAGGTTCTGATAAATGGTGTCCTCCTGGAAAGAGAAGAAAAGTGATGGTATCGGTAAGGTCAAAAATGAGTTGTAATGCTTTTTAGTAAAAATAACTGAGAGGAGTTTACCAAAATAAATATTTTTAAAAGCGGACGGCACTTCAGCGTGATTAACTGGAACTCAAAGACGTCGAATATAACAAATATATCTGAGTAACGGATGAACTACAGCGCCAAACTCAATGGAGCTTAATAGCAGCCGAAATATGAAACAAGTTTTGTAACCTAAATATTACTAAAGGTATAACCTAAATAAATTGGTCGGAACACTGCTTGATCAATGTACACGTTAAGTGCAAAATTACCTCAAAGCTTACAGTTTTTCCCCAGTTCTGGTATGACTGCAAGTACAGTAGCCAAAATTCTTACTATCAATGCCGTGTAACTTTTCAAGCAAATACGGTGAAAACAAGAAAAACAATAAAAAGTAGCTCATTGCTATAGGATCTCAATAGAGATGCGTATTTAAGGATTTACAATATAGCTACAAAGTAGCAGTACTTATAATGTAGGATGTTGTGGCCGCAAAACACCCTTTCCAAGCGTACGAAATAAAACTTGGACGAATATGTGAAAATATACAGGTAAAGGCATCTAAAGCACTATAGAATTCTCTGCCTGCGCAAAAGTACGTGCCTCTTTTAAGTAGATCATAGTCAAACGTCCTCCGGGTGTCCTTTTCAGAGGCTAGTTGGTCAAAGAAACCACTGTATAAGTAAAATCTCCAAAATTATTTAACTTTAAGCGGTTGTGAACGTTGTCCCGAGACTACATGGGTCTGGTCTACATGGATAAGCCAGGACAGCTCAGTGTCCAATTGCCCCGAATGAGCCTGTAATCTGCAACCATTTATTGGACGAATCTCGCATGATGTATCAATTTTAGCTCATTTTATGCACCCACGTACATAGATCCTCACCGTCAATAAGCTACATATATCTATAGGTAAGAATAAAGAAATGAACATGCAAACTGGCAAAATGTTTCTAAAAGTGTAAGTTGCTGGAGCCTGCATGGGTTGCGCCTCAAGAACTTTGTTTTCAATGGTTAGGGTCTTGCAGACGTGAGTGTTGTTGTGCCCCATGTGTTGGTCCGTTCTACTGTGCAACCGTTGTGCTTCATGAACTTTCCGCATTTTTGGAGGTTTAGTATGGGTAACACCAATGCAATACAAGGCTTTACTGTGTCATGAGCTATCA